GCTCAAGGCGAGCGCTCTACCACTTGAGCTACAGCGCCACTTCCGGTTTTCTGGTGGTTTATTGGAGATAGGAGTCTCAAGGTCTCTCCTTCCCGGGCTGGCTTTGAACCGCGATCCTCAGATCTCAGCCTCCTGAGTAGCTAGGATTACAGGCGTGAGCCACCAGCGCCCGGCTCACTTCCAGCTTTTTATGATTATGTGGCACTGAGGAATCAAACTCAGGGCCTCATGCATGCAAGGCAAGCATTTTACCACTGAGCCACCTTCCCAGCCCCTCTTTCTTTTTTTTAAAAAAATTGTGTTTGACACTATCATTTGATTCATAGGTCCACTTCAGGATTTTGGGTAGTTTAAATTAGAGATAAAAGTCTAGTGTGCCTTCCTGTCTGGACTGGCTTCAGAACCACAGTCCTCAAGTCTCAGCCTCCTGAGTAGCCAGGAATTACAGGTGTGAGCCACCAAGCTGGGCTTCTTATATCATCTTTTCAAGCCAAATGTGCAAACCAGAGTAGCCACAATGGTCATTTGTGAAGGGAAAGGAGCCTGTGGTTCCATAGGGGCTGCTGGCAGTCCAGAGTTTCTAGGAAGGCAGACCTCTCACAACCCTCCTGCGAAGGTGTCCTCCCACACTGAGGGTTGTGAGCTGTCTGTGCTGTCCGGGGCTTGGAATGGGAGGGTGCAGTTAGCTGATGTTCTGGGCCAGGAGTGGGCTTCATGGTGCATCCATGCCAGCCTATCTGCCCATCTGGGTGCCCACGATGGATGGGGCCCACAGCTCACTCTGGCTGGGTAGTTATCAAGGCCACTAACTGGGACAGAGGGTGCCTTGAACTGATCACAAGCCCAGCAGGACACACATCATTGTGGCCTCCAGGGCACTGTCCCCAGAGAAGCGTGTGTGGGTGAGGACTTCATACAGCAGACTTCCTCCAATTCATCACACAGCCTCTGGGAGCTCAGCACACTGCACGTAGTAAGTACTAACAATGCTTTTTCTCCCAAGTACCATTGTGAACTTATCCCAATTCTGAAAAACCAGACCAATGTGGAGGGAGGGTTTGCCCTACTGTGTTGTTTAGGGGTACAGAGAGGAATAAGGGATGCCCAAAATGGAGTTCCAGCACCCCTATAAATTACTTGGGGGACATTAGTACTGCTGTGCCTCACATTTACCAGTATGTCAATTCATCTCTCCCTGGTTCATCAACCAAGTTGATATTACAAACATTTGCTAAACGGCTTCTAGAGTCTGTGAGAAAACTCAGAGCAAACTTACCATGGGTCCTCATTTCATGAAGTTCACTGCAAACAGTAACTACAGTTTGAAAAAATCAAAAGTGATTGAGAGCTGGGAGCTGGTGGCTCATGCCTGTAATTAGCTACACAGGAGGCTGAGATGTGAAGATCATGGTCCAAAGCTAGTGATTTAGAGACTCATCTCCAATTAACCAGCAAAAAGCTGGAAGTAGAGATGCAGCTCAAGTGGTAGATTTCCAGCCTTGAATGAAAAGCCAAATGAGAATATGAGTTCAAGCATCAGTACTGACACACGCACACGCGCGCGCGCACACACACACACGTGATTGAGAGAGGCATTTTATTTTATTTTTTGCCAGATGGGGCTTGAAGTCAGGGCCTGGACACTGTCCCTGAGCTTCTTTTGCTCAAGGCAAGCACTCTACTACCACTTTAGCCACAGAGCCACTTCCGGCTTTTTCTGTGTATGTGTTACTGAGGAATCGAATCTAGGGTTTCATGCACACTAGGCAAGCACTTCACCATTAAGCCACATTCCCAGCCCAAGAAAGGCATCTTGGGGGTAAAAAGCCACAAGGCCACTTCTGGCCTTTTCTGCTTATGTGGTGCTGAGGAATTGAACCCAGGGCCTCATGCATGCAAGGCAAGCGCTCTACCACTGAGCCACCTTCCCAGCTTAAATGTAATCTTAACATTAACATCTAATTTGTTATAATCTGACCATTAACACCTACTTGAAGTCAGGCCTTTCCATATCCCACTGAGGTGGCTTGTGCAAGCACACAGGTGACAGGAGTCACTCAATCTTACTAAAAGTGTGACTTCGGTGATCTCTTTCTCTGGCCTCTTTGCTCTTGCAGTCGCCTCCCCCTGGACTGCTCTTCTTCAAATGCAGTCCCCACCCCACCCAGGCCCCCAATTCCAATGTTGGTACCGAGACTTGAACTCAGGAGCTGGCACTATCCTTCAGTTTTTCCCACAGCTCCACTTCCAGCTCGTGTGTGCCCGTCCTGGGGCTTGGACTCAGGGCTCACGCACTGTCCCTCGCTCAAGGCTGGCGCTCCACAGCTCCACTTCAGGACCCTCACGGACTTTCCTGCCCGGGCTGGCTTTGAACCTCGATCCTCAGATCGCAGCCTCCTAAGTAGCTAGGATCGCAGGCGTGAGCCACAGGCGCCCGGCTAACAGCTTTCTACAGGCTGGATTTGCTGGCTGTGACTCTGCGACAGCGGCGGCAGACACACAGTCATTCGTTGGATGAATAATCCGCTCTCCTCAGGCCCCAAAGCCTTAATCAGGGTCCCGTCGGAAAGAATCCCGGAGAAAGTGCGGGAATGAACACCCGCGAGGGCGCACCAACTGTTCAGAGTGCGCCAGCGCGCACACTTCCTCCACGGTGGCGCTGTGCGCATGCTCTCTCCCTAGGTGCCCCCCCCCCGCCCCCGGGTGGCGCTGTGCGCATGCTCCCTGGAACTTTGGTCCTCCAAGGCGCTTTCAGCCTCTCTACCCGTCCTTCTCGTTGCTCCGCTGTGGGGGCGGGAGCGCCGCGGGGGTCCTCCAAGATGGCGGCGCAGAGGAGGAGCCTGCTGCAGAGTGTGAGGAGACTGACCGGCCCTCCGGGCTTGGGGGTCGGGAGCCCCGGTGTACTGTCGGGTGGTGGAGCGTGACCTCCGCCCGCTCCTCGCTTCCCTGGTCCGGGCGCGAGCAGCGCGCGGCAGCCGCGCGGGGTTGGGCCCCGCGCAT